ACTAACCTAACATTCTTCTTTAAAATATTGCATAAAATATCATTCTCAGACAGTAAGGAGATACAGTTCTCACCGGAAGGCTCTTACAACCTTCGTAACCAAACGTGCACAGTATCTAGGAAAAACTGTAAGACAGCACTCCGTGCAAACTTCTTCATTGTCATGTACTCTAAGATCTGGAACGGTTTACCCCTAGAAATAAGGACCTGTCACTCTACTATAACCTTCAAACGCTTGCTCTATAAACTGTTTCATCCCAATGACTATGCCAATCACACCGCACCACTTATTTCTAAAACGCATGAGCTATTAGAACACTATAACGCCTAGACTCATTACTAAATATTATGACACTAAATAAACTCTAAGACTTCGCAAAAATACATGAAAAAACAACTAGGTTATAGGTAATGTTTACTATCCAATGATATACATTTATAAACATTTATGTATACATAAAATATTAATGTTCTTTTCATGTTCACATACTTTCTCTTTCTGGGATTCTGTTGCTGAGCCTACACTTCTGTATACCTCCTGGTCGAGGTCGAACAACCCTACATTTAAACTGAAATGAAGCTGGACTCCAGAGCATTTAAGTAAATTCAAATTCCATGAACGATCCGATGCTACCATTTGAAAACGCTGGCCAACATTCTGTACAAGGAGTATTCTTGATCTGAAATAAAGAAGCAACTGGTTTTCAAACAGTTTTCAATGTATTACTCAACTTACATGTACAGTCTGCCATGCTGACACGAATGGCGCCAATGGATAGTTCTAGAATCGACCTCGGTCCCATTTCATGCAGTAAAACAATCCAATATCTAGTTCTCGTATCCACGACCAAATTTCTTTCCTATTATAAAACTACGATTAGACTGCTGATAAAAATGGAATAAATACATCACTGACCTCAAAATAATACATCAATAAACTTCAAGTCAAGGATGCTGTTCACAACAAAGTTATATAAGAGAATTGACTTCAAGCTTTATTTTTCCCAGATATTTGTATTACATTCATCTGATGTCTGGGTTTTCTGTTAATGCGAAGACAATATTTCTATATCTCTTTATGTGTTACACAGACAGACGATTTTGCAGACTGTTCTGACTGACTCTAATGTCAGAAAGAACAAACAAACTGTAAATTTAACATACATCGAAACATGTGTATTTTATATAATAACTTATCCATGCCTGTGCAATTGGTATGTTCCTGCATAAACAGCAATAATTATATATATAAATAAATGTTTTATTACTTATGTAATTATTGTCATTGGATTATGACTCAACACTGCTGTTTAATATCTTTGTGATAATTATTAATGAAATATATTTATGATAAAACCATCTCAGTTGGCATACTTTCTCGTTCGTTTTGAGAGAATATTATTCACTTTTATGTTGCCCACGAAAGTTTTCTTTTAAAAAATATTTCCAAGGGATACAAAAGTCGAAAGTGTCTGTTGACGTTTATTTTCAGAACGTTGAATTTCATTATTAAGCAAGACAGACTCTGGGATAACGCTTTGGCGTTTGAAACTATAGGCACTGGTTTCGAGCCTCGGTGGGAACATCACCACTCACTGGGGAATGCAGGTGCATCCAGTTGATGAGTCCCAAATAGGACGAAATGCGCGTTATCCTGGATTCCACTGCTAGTCACCATCCACCAATTAAAGACAGACTCTGATCTGAAATCAGTGAGAAAATCTGCTGCAGTCGGCACAATGAACAAGATCCGAACATTCAACACTAATATCAAGTCAGTCACACTGCTTCTATATGTTTCAGAGACTTGACACATGCGTCATTAAAAGCATTTCCAACAGGCTGCTGCAGTAGACTTTTATCAACAATTGCCTTCGCTAGCTCGATATTGAAGCAACGAAGTACAATGCGAGCTATTTACCTACTATGTTGAAATTTTTGCTAAGGATTACAAATGACACATATTGTTCCAAAAGTGGAGAGAGTATCTGACTTCACAAATGTTAGTACGTAGACTATGTTCTGAATCAATAGCTTGTCGGTTGAAATTACGCTACAGATTTTGTATTCTTTTTTAAAAAAACATTACAGTATTTTAAACATCGGAGTATGTATAGAAACTCTGCAAACCTCCAAAGTAATGTAACAGGAATCAAACCACATCTTATATATTTGCAAATTTCGAAATCAAAAACCCACACTGCCTAAAGCTGTGCTAGTAAGGATCGGACTATTTAAAGTGTCTTTCAACCAACAAACTTGTAAGAAATAAAGTACGAGGATATATACACTGATAGTAAATTTTGACACTAAGCCTTTTACAAATCGTACTATTTGGAAAATATATAGTTGACTGGTTTAAAGATATGCAGTGAAGAGATTTAATGTCCCAGCTAACAAACGAGCAACGCCGAGATTTGGTTCGGAAATATATATAATATACCAAAGACTAACAGCATACATAGATGTATCGTATTGTTTATAAGGAATGGGTAATTACCTCTAAGTCACCATGAATAAAAGATCCCATACTGTTACAAGCCAATTTAAGTTATAACAAAACCATTCACTCTACAGTCCACATTTAGTTTTAACAGTAATTTACAAGAATATGAGTAGAATTATTAGTTTGTCAAAAAGGTTGATAGTAAGCATGTAGATGAGATTCCATGTACTAAGAAAAGCCTTTATTAAAGCTTATCACATGACTGTCACCTAAATTGGACTCAAGTTATGCAAACAACTCAACACACCATTTTTGACTGCATCCTAATAAGTGCGAGAAAGCAACTGAACTTTAGTTCATTCACTGCATTCATTACTATTAGTAATTAAAGAAAACAGAACAACCAATCAGAATGTGTAAGAAGTTGAGAAGTATGTGAATTCTTTATCACTAGAGTTTCGTGAGTGTTCTCTCTGTTGAGAATGCACTTTTCTACATATTCAACAAACCAAATTACAATTTCTTCGGTAAATTGCAGTCCTACTTAGAAAGCTACTTTAACAGTCAGTTAAGGCTATCTAACGTAATATCGTTATTAATGAAGAGTGAAAATACTACACTAAGCATGTACAGACAAATCAGAGCGAGTCTAATCAATTTCTACTGAGTAATTATGTTATTGGCACAACCGACTGAGATGAATAATGACATTCAATATTAACAAAATATAAGAATACTGGTAATTTGAAATGTGAATATGATACGGAAATGATTTATTTCCATTAGAATACAATATACTGACTTCTGGTAAAAGAAATGCACGGAAGACATAACAGACAATGGTTGGAACCTGCGACACCTATCACCGCCATGAAAAACGCACCAACAACCAAAGTATATATATATATAGCCGAATAATGGCGGTTGTACACCACCCAGTGGTCACCGAGAATATTGTGAAAAGTAGTCGCTCAAAGTTATCAACAGATAAAAAGACAAACTAGCATACCACACTTTGCGCAAGCAATCGTAGTCAAGCGGTTGGAACCAAATCTGTGCACACAGACGGTGAGGAATGTTGATCATACGTCGCCTTCGCGATTATACTGACAAAAACACATAATCGCATTGCAGTACATTGTTTATTCCTCGGTATCTTATGTCCTGTCTCAGAATTAATCTGGACGTAAGTCACCTTACATTTCTTGCTTTTCATTTAAGGGTTTCCAACTGATTAACGTAGGCAATTAAATTATTAAATTTAAAAAAACGGAGTAGCCATATCTATATAATTACATTCATATTATTTCTAATCTGTGTTACTTGTGATCCTTATCAATAACTCCTTTTGTACTTCATAAAAGTGTGTTCAAATTAAGTGTAATACGGGTGAGCTCATGAATTCCGTAGCATGGTCAAGTCACACATTTATCATTACTCAGATTCAGATTATAAAGATAGAAGGTTCTTGTTGCTTATGTTAATCCTTACGATATATATCTCTGCAGAGATCTAGTTTTTCTTTGAAAGCGTTCACTGATGGAGCTGATGCTACTGAATCAGGTAAGGAGTTCCAGTCGTTGACCACTCTGTGAGGGAATCTAAATTCCTCACGTATTTTGTTCGACCTCAGTTTGAGCGCCTTCTTGCGGTGACTTCGTCAATGTATCCTAGAGGGAGAGAAAGGACTTGAAAGGCCAATCCTTAAATCACCATTTAACCTAAGGTATGCCAAAATTAAGTCGCCTCTCCTCCTTCGTATGATGATGGGAAGAGATTTAAATGCCCCGTCCTCTTATAACAAGGAAAAGGTGAGATACCACTGACTAGTTTGGTTCCTACCCGCTGCACTCTTGACAGGATATGTGTCTCCTTTTTGAGACACGAAGTCACCGCTTGTGTACAGTATTCTAGATGATGTCTGACATATGTTGCATAGAGTACTTGGAACATACCCTTATCTAGTCGTTTGAGAGCTCTTCGAAGCGCCAGTAGCATTCAATAAGGCTTAGCTGAGGCTCCTTTACAATTTGCTATTGTTTTTAAGTCATGGCTTACAATAATTCTTAAGTCCTTTTGTCCCTTAACATCTGGCAGTTACTGTTACGCCATGAGTTATATTAACTTGACCAGTGAAAAGTTACAGTTTATCATATTGCTGTACATCTGCCTTTAGATTAATTCGCAAATTATCTTCTCATTAATGAGAAAACAGACAATAAAGATAATTAAGTATCCTATTGAGTATAAATATACGTTTTTCTAATCACATTGAAGCAGGATCATGAACGGCAAGCTCAATTTCGTTTTAAAACGTACCAACTAACTATTATACCTTTATTCTGAAAGTATCGCTCCTAGATTAGCGAAGACACTCTATTTGAAATCACACATTTTAGGATTTGTAACTTCTTACATATACGAAATTTACTAAACGAAGTCTTATTTGCAATCGCTTAACTATACACTTTTAACCCGTTTTGTATAAACTCTAGGTAATTCCTAAGCACATTTTTCATCAACTCAACAAAAAAGGGTATTTCATCGTAACGCACCTATTCAATTACCGCAGAAGAATGCAACAAGTGAAATGCTCAATTTTCTGAGGGAAAGTTAGGGCTGAAATTATCCCGCATGCTCAAGGTCACTGATGGAGTGAGACGCTCAAAGGTCATTTTCGTCCATGTTAGTCGGTTATGTTGGATTGCAGTTCCGTAGCCGTTCGTTTACACATTGGTTTAACGTTCTGTTGGCATTTATAGGTGATTCCCATGTACTGATAGCATTCTTTTGTAAAATAGTACTGTTCTTCACACGAAAATAGCCACAATTTGACGTAGTCTTCATTGAATGACACTACGTCGAAAGCTGCAGCTTCTACAAGAAATAAACTATTTGTGTAGATGACATTACCCCCCAACTAACCCATCTTCTTCATTGTAGAGATGTTTTGACGCATTCAGCATGAAACACTAATCATTACAACCAATGTGCTAAGTGTGTCGCAGTCAGATTACATGACGCGGACACCAACATAACTAGCCAGGAAATGAGAATTCCTATCAATCCAGAAAATATATAACAAAATTTTATTAAAAATTATTGACAAAAAAAATTTGTCGAGCGAAATTTCAACCAACATGCTGGATAAGTCCAGCCAAAGTTAGTAGTTTGTCTCTCTTTTTCATCACCTCTAAAATTTCGTGAAAATTCGACATTTGTATGGGGAAAACTGTGAAAAAGGGTAGGACGAACATTCACAAGAAGAAAGACAGTGCTGAAATTTAGAGATGATAGGTAATCGATGCAGTTGACGTTCAACAAAGCATGTTGCAGGCCTGTCTGTAGATTTAAACTGAAAGCATGGACAGCAGACTTTTGAAATCGTCCGTAGCTCATACCTGCCAGACTGCTGTAGTGAAGTAAGACAAGGCTACTTCCTATCACCGATGGTATTCCTGATTGTAGTCGAAAGCATTATGCGGTAGTATATGGTGAGCTGGACATCGCACGCTGTCTGTTTCGAATGTGACAAATTTGAATACTTACAGGAGAAAACCAATAAGTTCGAGGAAGAGGTAGGAAGCGGAGGTAGCACTTCAAGTGAACACCTACGCCACCCAGATGTTAGACAAATCAGTAGAACCTTCAACGATTAATTTTCATCTGTGTAGACTGAAACATGGGATAAATGACTAGTTCTCCAAAGCAGCTTCATTTTGGTGAAACTGTGTATGTCTATTATATCTCCATATCAAGAATAATAAATACAACTTCAGGCAGTCGTGAGTGTTATTTTTCTCCTAGCATGTTGGGGCGGCATTAAGAACAGAATGGTCACCAGGTTAGGTGAACCAGTAGACCGGAGCTCAGGTCTGGCAAGACAGATAGCTGCACATCAGTAGCGAGTGCCATTTCTAGTAAAAATCAACTGGGAGCCAGCTTACAGTCGTCCAAGTAACCTCGTCAACTGTTTTCCTAGACATGCACGAACTAGGGAAAATGAAACGGCAGCGTAGCAAAGGGCATGGATGCTTGAAGCCGTACCTTCATTTTATTCACTCAATATAAATATCAAAGTTCAGTAACTAATGTTGAGTAGGGAGCTCTGTAGTCTGAAAAATTTGGGGTCTTATCCATCCCCACTCCTTAAACATAAAGTTTTGACTCAGGATCACAAGATGTAATGTCTCCTGACAATAAGTCAACTGAAATCAAAGATTGTGACGAATTGTAGTTACTGAGTGATTTTATTCCCAAACTTTCGTGGAGAACATGAATGAAATCCGGTAATCAGTTGGACTGTTGTTATCCATTGACATAACCATGCAAGCAATATTTTTTAGTCAGTCCACAGGGCACCTAAATAATCCTGCAAAGTAAGTATGTCATGTACTCAGAGAACTTGTATTCACTTCACGACTGTCTCACATTTGGTCTGATAGGTGAGCTTAATTATCAAGAATAAATAAACATTTCCGCTGTTCCCAAGTAACTTGGTGCCTATATGGGATAGCAGATTGATATATGAACAGATGAACTATGGATTGTTACTAACTGGTGATATGGCGATAAATGTAAATAAACCAACCACAAATGGAGTGAGTAAACTGACGCCTACTATTTTGGTGATCATGATTGTAGACGCATTGACATATCCTCGGTGATTTTTTGAATCATACATTATTGTGTAAAATCCACTTTGGATGATACAGAAATATGCTTTTCAGCTCACGTTGTCATGTGTGGCTGCTTATGTGGAGCGGGCAGGGGAAAACGTAGCTGTCGTATGATGTTATTGGTCTAGTCAAGCAATACTTTGCGCCCAAATTTCAATTTCAGCGTTGCTTTAAAGTACATAACTGGCAATATCAGGACAAATATGTGGGTCAGTTCCTTTGAGTGCTGGCAACTCCGTTTCCGATGACCAGTTTATTTATGCTGAGGGAGCGTGAAGAAGGCTCATCGCGGAAAGTCAGATTTTCAGCAGACTTGGGCTTGCTGGCTGCATCGTATCAACCTGGCGCTTTCTTATAACCTCCGTTTAATCCCTCACTTATATTCGCACATATACAATGGCAAGGATTATGGTCTTCCTTCAGCGGTTGAACAACGTTTAAAGTAGCTTGGTAACCAACAAGGTGGGCTAGGCTAAGAAGCTGTCCATTTGCGTGGCCACAGATCAAGTGGAAATTAATAGATAACTGCGCAGCTCACAAGCGTTTTTGAGTTGGAAACCAACAGGATAATGGGCTCGAAGTGGTTCAGGCACTAAGGCTAGTTGTTCTCCTCTATCCCCATCATCTTCAAGTTGTACCTATAACTCACTGAAATGACTTCTTTGAATGGGTCACACCTCCTTACGCTTTTGAAGTTCTCCACTCACATTAACGCGGTAAAAGTTTACCGATATTGGCATACGAGTAAAAGATCACCATTAACATAGTATTTTTGGCTTCTGCTGAGCGCTCGTCACTCTCCTGAAACGATGGGAATTGTCTAGCAATACTCATCATCCGGGAAATTATCATATACGGTGGTTGGTAGCACATCCACTTTCAACCTTGAAGAATGGTACTGGACCTTATCTTGTCTGGAGTGCCAAGCGATACCTTGACCAGATGAATAGATCTATTGTAGCTACTCTTACATAGCCCACTGGTGTGGGGTGATTACAAGCACTCAAAAAGTCTGCTGATTAAATGATGCTGTAGATAAGAAAGTCTTTGATTAAATGATAATATCCACGGGACTAATTCCATGTATCCCACTTGTCTCTTAATGACTGAAGTTTTAAGACTGTCTTAATACTAATTTCTCTTTGTTAAAGTACCATACGACGGCAAGATTATGTGGGACTTGTGCGACCTAGTATTTGTTGGTGTCAGAAAATACAGACTGAGTGTTCTCGTAGTCGTTATCGCTCTTTTCTAATAAGCATTACTACAGTGTTCAGGAAACTTAGTAACTCATCTGAATAATCTTATAAGTGTATGTCGGTAGCACAGTGGTTAGGACTCTTGTTGACCATGCACATGGTCCGGGGTTCGATCCCCCGCCGGCGCACACGCGATATCAATGGTTGGCCTGCAAAATTTGGGCTACGGATATCACATGCTGAAAATTCCATACTTGTACCAAAAATACTGTGTGGTTTCAAGCTATAATCAAAATTTAAAATTTAAATTTGTTACTCGCATTTGACAAGAAAAAGAAATGCGGATTGGATCTCCTTTGTACGCCTTCATATCTCCCATTATCATAGTTCTGGGTGAATATGTAGTATTATAGCATACTGGTTTAAGTCAATCGAAGTTAGAGAGATGTCGAATGGAAGAAAGTTTGTACCTTACCAGTGACAGCCAGTGGTGAATAGAAGTACAGCAAAAGCTATGGCTGATTTCTGTTGTTGAGCCACCAAGAATCGATTGACAGTCATCTATGTTAACGCCTGAATTTTGAATGCCACAAAAATTAAGTTGTACTGTCACTACTACGATACGCGTAGATGTGACATTGTGACCTACCCTATACTGGTGGTCAGGCTACTTCTAACAACGCAGCGACCAGCCAAGGTAGATCACTTAATTTAGGGTTATTCAAGTGCGCATTAAAAGACAAAAGACTTGTAAATCCCTAGGCCACTGCAGACCCACGTAGTAGCAACTGCGTATTGCGCATGGAAATATCCAGGTTTGAAAGTTTCCAGTCATTTGAAGAAAGTGGGTTTTATCCGTTAGTCTCTTTCGTACAGTAAGATGCAGAAATAAAGCTTTTATGAGGAGACGGACATATCAAGTCGAGGTACGACTGCCTCCTGAACTATAGTGTTCACGAGGTCTTGTTAGTGAGCTAGTAAGTCATCTTTGACAGTACGCACCCACTGGGATTCGAACCCAGGACCTTCCGGTTACAAGGCAAGCTCGTATACCATTCAGCCACTGGGACCCGATTCAATGGCTCATGAATTCTAACTCCTACCAATTCGTGATTTAGCGCGACCCCAACCATTGTCATTGGTGGGACATCCATCCACACACGTGACATCTAATTGGACCTCACTGGTCAGGACTTCTCACTAGAACTCCAGGAAACTCCATCCTGTCCAGTACTCCCTGGTTTTCAATGGTTCTCTAACTGATATCAATCCGTTATCAACTCGTAAAAACATATCCAACCCTTACAAACCAAATTTTAGAAAGTCATCTTTATATTAGATCTAAAATATGAAACCCATGCAGGGCTAAGACAGGTATTTATGGCTGTCTTTTAGTGGCATTCAGTCCTTTGTAACTGCAACCATATCGGTCTTCTTTTGCGATGTCGAGGAAGCTTGTGGTCTAGGCTGCAGAAATTCTTCCCCGATTATTAGTTCATTCATCTCTGCTACTTATGATCGAAAAAGAATCACAGTCAACTGATATTAGAGAAGCCAGAAGGGGAGTGATTGTATTCTGGTTTTGCATAAATCAGCATATGTTTAAAATGACCAGGGAGCATATTTCGTGGCAGAAAACATAGGCACGTAAGGGAGAACTGTCATATGTGTCAAAATGGTGTACAGTTGTGGCGAAATACAAACTCAACACTTTGCAATTT